TAAAAGAAGATTCTAAGACATTTTTTCTAAGGAGCCCATTTTACTGTTCACAAAAAATCCTTCCTTGGAATTAAACATAACAGAAGTGACTTCATCAATGGAAAAATTTTGTTTCATTAACAAAACGGAGGCTGAATTAGAGATTATTATTCTTTATATTGATATAACACTCAAAAGCGCAGAAAATAAAAGCGATGAAGTTTTTAAACTAATGGACCTTATTAAATACAAATACATACTTAGGTATGCACTAACAATGAAAACATTTTTTGGGTCAACATGCCTCCATGAGCTGGCTTTTTCACAACTTAAAATAATAAAAAGCAAGTACAGAAATATTTTGACTCCACAGCATGCAAAAAATAACATGGTGTTATCATGCTATGTATCAGAATAAATGGGAAATTTTAATAAATTATCAAAGAAAATTAATAACCAAACATCTCATTAATAGCAAGTTAATGACTTAATACTGTACTGATTTAATGAGATATTTAACAATTCAACAATTTAGCATTTACATTTTCTTGTATTAACTAGTTTACTAAAAGGTGATTTTCTTTATTTTCTAATTTTAAACATAAAATTTGAACCCAAACTACATTTATGTTATAATAGTGGATTTTCTTCAGTTTTTTGTAGGTTTATAATAATTTTTAGTACTTCTTTGTTATAGCAGCTCCCAATGATATTTAATAATTTTAGATTTGTACTAAAGGTCTATATAATATAATTTTACCAAGCTTGTGAAGCACAGATGTAAAAATAAACAGCATGATATATAATAACATTAATACTCACATGTCATTTCCTAAGAATACTTTTAGGAATCCTTATTATTAATATTTTATTGCATGTAACTGTTCCAGTCAACTGCAGCACTTTCACACACTTCACACTGTTTGCTACACCATTTCATGGATGTCAATTCATGTACCCAAGAATACATAAATAGCAGAGACGAATGATATTCTGAAACTAGTGAACCAATTTCCAACATAAGAGTTCTTTTTTCTTTTTACAATTTTTAACACTGCACCTCCGAATGGTTTGCAATTTTTAACATTGCACCTCTGAATGATTTCGTCATTAACATGTTGTTTGTTTGTTGTAAGTTTCATGTTGTGACCATGTGTTTTCACATCTCGTTTATAGACCTCTTTCTTAAAACAAATTCTACAGGCATTTACCTCATTGCTTGGTAAATTAAAGACTGTTAACATCATATATATATATATATATATATAAAAGGCTATACTTTTAAATAAACAATGCAAATTTGGAAACCTCATAAAAAATGAATAATATAAGAACACATAGTGAAAGCAAAAATGCAACATGATGCTACTCTACGACTATGTGATGAGGTATAAGAACACACAACTGCTGCTAATATACAATCATGTGACAAGGTATAAAAACACATAGATAGATTTTGATGAGACATCTCGGTTGATCGGCAATTCAACCTCGGAGGCCTGCTATAACAAAGAAGTACATAGACTCCAACCTTCAGCAAACCTTGTCAGTAGTCAACGCGCGAACGACATTTTTACAACTTTGAAAATGTGCGCGTACGTATGGGTAAAACCATTCATGAATTTTAAATTAAAATAATTGTAATCAATTTATTACATTTAAAATCCATATACATATAAAACTGAATAATTAAAAATACCTTGTAAATTATATGCACATTAATTAGAATTTTCTTTTAACTCCTCAAGCATTCACTAATAAAAGTACTTCAAATCACTACTAATCATAGAAAAAATCGAGTCATCTACTTGATACATGGAAATTCAATTTCTACTTGATTAGACATTTTTCATCAATAATGGTGAAAAGTATTCATCAAGTAAGAACATGAAAATGAGACTTCAGTTCTCAGTTGATTTCAGCAACTTCAGCATGTTTAGAAATGGATCACTCAGTGGAAATTTATCAATTATATATGAACATGCAGTTACAAAAAAGCTCACACAGAATTGAAAAATGATTCACTTCACTTCATTCAACTTGGCATTTTTAAATATAGTCTGTTTCTGCACCAATCACTAAATTTTCATTTTCTTTTTGTTATTATACTTCTGAAATGGAATAGACCTTAGAGTAACATCTTCATTTCTTTAGAAATTACTGATGGTTTACGAAATCTAACAAATAAATTCATTAAAAGTTCAAAAATTCTCTTCTCAATTTATGTATATAAGGAGCTTGTTGTTGCAAATTAATATTTACTGTTGTAAACAAAGATGAAGTATTTTTCAAAAATAACAAGTATGGTTTGGTGGTAGATGACTTGTAAATTTTTTTTTAATGTTTTGCAATCTCTTTCTTTCATTCTCACTGTTATCTGGTTGATCTCCCCAAAAAATTAATGACAGCATCCCAATGTTCCAAAATCCTTGTTATAAATTCTACAAGAGACAATATCTCGTACTGCAGTATTTCAGAAATTTTATGAGATTTTCCATTATGTCCCAAAATGTTGTTGAGCAACTTTGAAGCTATGCTTCCGTTTCGAACTTTTCTCCAGATAAAAATATATATCTATTAACAACATTTCGAATTTCTGAGCCAATTAATTTTCAGTACTTTTTTTGGCAGCTATTGCAAGAGGTGGCACGGACAACCTCGGGTGATTATACTTGGGTGATGCATTTTGATAAATGATGCTACACCTTTAAACTTTTCCAATCATATTACTAGCATTATCTAAGAAAAATAAGCAATTTTTCCATTCTAAACCTTTGGTTTTTAAAGTTTTCATTTATACAATTAAAAATACCTTCTCCTGTATTATTCGTGCATTCTAAAATAGAAATCAATGAAGTAATTATCACTCCCTTTTCTTTACTGTAGTATGTTATAACCAATGGCTACAGTTTGTTATCATTGTATCATTACTTCCATCAGTACTTAGAGAAAATGAGTACTGCACACTGATTTTATAATATCAGCACAGTATTTTCGCAAGCGTTTTCACAATAGCAGCAGTTTGGTATGACCGCAGCTAAATTTTTTTGCTATGGCAGAATCGGAAACATTGCTTGAAAAGCTCTTTGGAATGATCCGAAACAGAAACGGTAGATTATGTTCAATTAAAAAATGAACAAAATAGCATTCGGCTTTTATAGGATCTGTTTCATCATCTTTTATTAAGAAATTTGTTATTTCTTTAGATTTTACGGTGCCAAGTTCTATATGCTTTTGAGAAAACACATGCCGTTTTACAGTCATCTTTTCCCCCCATGAGCAACTGAGAAGTCTTTGTTGCATTACACTGCAGTGTGCGTGATTCACAGAAATTTCGGATGCTTTAAGCATGGAAATTCTGAAGAATATGAATCTTTAAACTTCTGCTTTGATAATTTTGGCTTCTTCGTTCGAGGCAGCATTATGATTAAAAATCTTTCACTGATTCACAGTTCACAAGCCACACGCTTAAGCTCTCGCCGTAAACTACACAATGCAGCCGAATGCGCCTAAACACGCATAGCGAGGAACCTGGGAGCAGACAATTGGGTGGAACTACTGATAAGTCGTTTAACGGTTGGAGTTATTGGATCTACGATTGGCTAATTCTTCAAAACTAGGAACGCACTCAACACGTGATATGATAACACGAGTATTCAGCCAATCATCGGATGAATTAGTTGGTTCCGTTTTGCATACGGTTCTCCTGTCTGTTTCTGTAAAATCCGTAGTTTTTTCCATACTTTTCGTAGCTCGTAGTTTTTCATGAATTTCCGTAGAAACTACGGAGAATCCGTAGTAGTTGGAGTCTATGGAAGTACCTAATTTTTCTTATTATTTGGAAATGCAAAATCCAGTAAAATCACATATTTTCATGAAAATACTTTTTCCAAACATAGAACAGCTGTTGGCCACCAGATATGGCAGAATTTTAAAAGTAGCCTTTATGACAAACCTGGTTGGACACCACACTCTTTTATCTTTTGGCATACCACAACAAGTGGATTGGGAAATTGCTGCTGTGAATCTTGGTGCAGAAGATATCTAACTTAACATGAAATTATAAAAATGCAACAAAATGAAAGATTTAAAAACAATACATTCACTTCTCAAATTTTTTAATTTCTTTTTGAATAATACATCATTTTGCCATATTTACAATAAATTTAATAAACTTTTACAAATATTTATACCATTAATGTAACTAACAAAAGACATTTTTCATGCTATATTATATTATAAACCCATTAAAGAACAATCAATTGCCCGTTACCTAGCAGTGAATATGCTACATTTTACTTTTTAATTTCTCTAGTATTCAAATTCAGTAATGCATTAGAAAAAGGAATAATTATTCTGACCTTACAACTGTTTATAAACTTTTAAGCAACCATTATTTTAAGCATAAACAGCTACTCATGGGTAAAAAAATTAAACGAACAATGCTAAACATGGAATTTTAAAATATATTTTAGGCTCAACTTTAAGCAGCAAATTTTAAGAAATGCAGCAATCTTTATTTGCATATTTAAGAAAACTACAAATTTTGAACAACATATCATGAAGCCTACTTTAGTTCCATTATGCAAATATGGCAACTGCTATTAAAGACAAAATTTGATTAATGCTATTAATGATTATGCAGCTTTGGTAAATGCTATTAAAGATGGAATTTTATTATGCTGATAGCAGAAATAATCACCAGGATGAAATCACAATGTTTTATTTATGGCATACTTATTACATTACTTCAAATATTTTTAACATGCAATAATACTTTCTAAGTAAAAAATATAATATTTAATTAAAAAGAAATCAAAGTTAATTCATTTATAAATAAACAAGGTTAAATCAAAATGAGTTTATTTTAATACAACAATAAAAAGTCTTAATATTAAAATTCAGTAGCAAACTTTTTCATTACTAATGATATTCCTCATCAGAATCAATTGTTACTGAAAACATTAAAGCTGATGAAGTTTAATGCAAAAGTAAATGAAAATAGAATAATGTAAACTTACTTTATCATAATTTTTTTTCACAATTGGCTCATAAAAACCAGTTGCTTCTTTAAATTTATTTTCTTGCATAAATAAAACATGAGCCACATTTAGTTTCCATATGTCATGATCATTGCAAAATTCAACAGATTTTCGGAAAACTTTCTCAACTTGTTGATAATTTTCCATATCCCAATAAATTTTTGCTTGAGCCATAAGAACAGGAATGTACCTATTAAAAGAAACCTTTGAAATACTTGTTCATTCCAGGTAACAAACAAACCAAAATAGCCACTTTTCATATGTTACCATTTAAAATAGAGAAAAATTAGAAGAAAAATATGCCAAAATAAAATTAAAGCTTAGACCAAGAAGTAGCCTCATTTTTGTTTTAGTTAAGAGTTTTATTCAAAATTTATACTAAACTAAGGCTGGTTTTTCTGTCCAATTTCAAAAGCTTAAAATATGATTGTAAGAGCAAATAAATCAGATTCCATACTTCAAAAAAGCTTATCAACCTGAAAACAGATATGAAACCATTTTCAATATTAAATTTGAAAAACATCTTCTCAATAGTATTTTAAGAAAACATTTTAGTAAATCATTACAATTGCTTAGCAACTTAATTCTAAGTTGGCATAATGAGTCATTTTTAATGAATTGATGTAATTAGAAGTGAATTCCTATAAAAGAAGATAATTTTATTACGATCATATAATTACCATCTCAAAGAAAATAAAAAATTAAAAAATAAATCTGCATGTTGGAATAAATTTTTTTGATGCAGTTTAAAAAAATATTTAAATACTAAATTATTATGCAACATCTAATTAATACAGAAGTCATCATTTAATGTGATTGCAATTAATGTTATTTGGATATTTTTATCAATTTATATATAAAAGACATAATGAATTCCTCATTTATAGCAACTTTTTAAATGAAAGGATTTTGAAATAGAATAACGAATTTAAGATTTCTGTTCTTCTTTTAAATGTCAATTGTATAACACTCAATGTAAATGCTTTCCTTAAAGTATATTGAAATTGAATGCCTTCCAGCAAACAGGTCTCTAACTATGTGATTAGGAATACAAAAGGATATTTTCACATAGACATAGAAATAATCATCAGTAACATGGAAGATAAGAATGTAAGCATATAAAATTTGCAAGAAAAATGAACTATTTTGATGTACTGCCTTTGCTAAATACATATCCCTTTTAAGTGAATAAGAACTGTGTTTAGTATGATAATTCTTGAATAAATAATGAAACAAAGGAAGTTGATGATGAAGACACAACATCTCCAACTAATGTGAATTGTATAAAATTTGAAGTTTGGATAGATAATAATGAAAATGCTCTAGTTGACAGAGCTTTTCAGAACAACCATAATATAAGAAAACATTTTGATGAGGAGGAATTCCTTTGTAAAACAGAGATGAAGGACGAGCTCATTTCAAAAATATTATGGACATTTCATTTTAAAAAATATCAGTCAAGCAATTTCCAGAAACACAATGAATATAAACATTTGCAAACACAATTTTTTGAGTAGCAAATGCAATTGCTGATTTACCATTATTTTAATTTTTATTTCTAACTTAGTTAGAAATAAAAATTAAAATATAATTAAGTCTTGTAAATATTTATGTATGCAAGTTTCCTTAATATTTCCATTAAATTAGCTAAACTGAACTGATTTTTTCATCATTTAATGCTATTATTCAGTTAAAGTTATAATGTCTGATGTTCTTTGGGAGCATAAACTAGATGTTAATAGACTTTGTAGGGAATTATCCTTAAGTTTTAAATACGACAAAGTCCAGAGAAAGGGTGTAAAGCAGTGATTCTCAACCGGCAGTATGCATACCTTGTGGTATGTAAGAGAAAAATACACTGGTGTGCAAAAATTAAGGACGAGATGGTTTCAATATAACTTTGTACAAAAGCTTTCCAAATCACACATTTAATACCGTAAGATCCCCAATACGTAAGGACATGAATAATGTAAGCAACACTTACTAAAAGAGAAATCAGAGGGATAAAAAGAAGCTTTATTGAAAAAGTAGCATGAAGCGCAATGCGACTGAAGGCCGAAACATCCCTGTGATGGGTGCCCCAGCAAGAAACATCCGGTCTTTAATAGGGGATATGATCTCCCCTGACTGCTAAGCAGGTTTCACAGCGTCTGCCCATGCTGAGAATGAGGGTGTCAATGAGTTGTTGAGGCATTGCTGCCCATTCGTCTTGCAGCGCCAATCGAAGCTCCGGAATCATTACTGGTGGTAAGGTACGAGCTGCCAAGCGTCTGCCTAGAAAATCCCATACATGCTCGATGGGATTGAGATCTGGAGATCGTGCCGGCCAATCCATACGTTCAATATCCTCACTCTCTAAGAGCTGTTCGGCAGCTACTGTGCGATGACATGGTGCATTGTCGTCCATGAAAAGGAACTGCGGACCCATAGCACCTCTAAAAAGACGCACATATGGAAGAAGAATCTTGTTACAATAACGGGTCCCGTTGACTGAACCTGCATTGAAAATGTGAAGGTCTATACGACTACCAAGTATGATGCCTCCCCAAACGAGAACACCGCCACCTCCATACCTGTCCCTTTCAATGATGTTCGAGGATGATTGCGGCTTCCCCGCTCTCTCTCCAGATGAGTATGCGATGAGAATCGCTACTCAGACTGAATCTGATCTCATCTGTAAAGAGTACTCATCCCCATTCATTGTCTCTCCAATTCCGGTGTTCCCGGCACCACAGAGAACGCCTTCTCCGATGGGCAGGCGTTAGAGGTACACACTGTACAGGGCGTTGTGCAAACAGACCACCACCGTGTAGTCTTCTGGCCATGGTAAAACGTGATATCGGTTGTCCAGTCGCCTGTGTCGTGTGTCTAGCAATTTCTCCCGCTGTCTGCCGCCTGTTTCTTCTGGACTGTAAGGCAATATACCGGTCATCTGCTGGTGTGGTTCTTTGTGGACGACCACTACTAAACCCCCGGATAGCTGTTCCTGTAGTTTGAAATTGTCTCCAAAATCATGAAATGATGCTGTGAGCAATTCCGAACTCTGCAGCCACACTTGTCACACTGCGTCCTTCCTCCAACTTCCCAATGATTCGACCTCGAGTAAAAGCATCCAGATGTCGTCTAACAGATTGATTATTCACCATTTCTCGCTGAGGTAGCAACTCGGTGTTATTTTAACTGCTATACGGCATGCAATCTCTTTGCCAGAAATACTGATCTTACACCGACAACATGCTTTATACTACTTAGACACTCCCCCATTACGTCTACCTGCATATCTGGGCATGTGCTACCGTACATCACCTTACTTAATCTCCTGATTGGTCTTTCTGTCCGCTCTGCCTCTTCGCTCAGCTGATATGCTAATTTTTCGACTTCGTCCTTAATTTTTGCACATCAGTGTAGGTAGGTATGCAAAGAAACAAAGTATTTTTAACTATTAAAATAAAAATCTCATGAAGAAAAGAATAATTGATAGAAATTTTCTGTCATCAAACTCTAACTGAAGATTTCAAAAATAACACACTTGTCAACTTTTCGCTGAACCTCAACCTCCAAAAAAAAAAAAAAAAAAAAAAAGAATTTGAAAGTGTTTCAAATAAAGCTATTAAATTTTTATTGCTTTTTTAACCTATTTGTATGAACAAGGATTTTCTTCCAAGTTTTATTTGAAAAATAAATACAGAACAAAATTAAAAGTGGATCTTCATTTATGGTTAAAGTTAAGTGAATAAGAAAAGACAAAGAAATTGATCTCTTTTAAACAAACCTAAATTTCACACACAATTTTAGAATTAAAGTATTATAATTTAAATTTTGATAATTAAAATGGTAACCAATTTTTAATCTAATATTTTTTATGTGTGCACATTTAATAGGTTGTGCAAATGGCAAAACATATATATTTTTAAATATTTCTATTGAGAAATTGAAAAATAATCACTGTAAAATGTGGTGGTATAAAGTTTTTCAATTTTTGTTTAGATGGTACACATTAGTTAAAAAGTTTAGAACTGATGGTGTAAAGAATCCTTTATTAACTGAATATTATTGAAAAATGACACCGACTGATGCTCACAAAAGTCAACACTTATGGCTTAAAAGTTAAAAAGTAACTTAAAATAGAATAGAATTAAATGATCCTAATGGCTTTTGATGGGCTACTTAATGTGCAAGCAGGCTTTGACTCATAAAAGTTGATGTGAACAAGCTTAACGGCTAGAAGTGGTCAATGCAACAGAAATCTAATCGCTAACAAATCAAAGATAACAACATGGCCTTCAGACAGGCAGAACACATTCTATATTTACCTTCCAAAACTACTAACTAACTTCTTTCTACCTTATTTGAATACATGCACACTAACTCATTAACATTCTGGCAAGAAAGCATGGCTTGAAAGCAAAATCCATAGGAAAGATTGCTTCAAAATAAAATTAACTGTTAAGTAACTTAAACAAATCCCCACAAAGTTATCAAAATAGCTTGATCACATTAAGCAATGTATAATAAATTAAGCAGCAGAATTACACATTAAAGAACAGTGTAATAAATTAAGCAGCAGTATAATAAATTAATGTGTTTCTTATAAGTTGCATTTTAGAAATTATATAGCTCTGAATTTTCTGCAGTATTCAAAACAGTAAAGTAGCTCAACAGATCCTGATACATGTTTACTTTTAAATCACGAGTTTTAAGGTTTAAGGCGCAAGTACAAGGTAAAGTTTAAAGTGCAAGTAAGGTTTAAAGTACAATCCTTTTAGGGGTGTATGGTTTTTATTAGGTCAGCCCATAAATTTATGCACATTTTTTGGTAAATTTTTAAATAATATTAAAAAAAATTTAACATTTTAATCAATTATATGTTTTTATCTTTTATGGCCACTGAAGTCATTGCACATAAAATATTTATGCCTACCGTTCCAAAGCTTCTTCACATTCATTAACTGCTTTTTTAACTCCTTCCTCATCATGATTCTGACGAGCTTCTTGTACTTGCTTTGTCAGTTTTCTTAAAGTTTCTATATGACGAGCAGCCATTTCATCAAACTTTTTATATGCCTCTTCTGGTGAGGTTTGTTGTGTTATAAGAGCATCCAAGAAATCATACAAGTACTGGAAAAAAAAATAAATATATATATCACACTTTTAAAAGAATAAAAATTAAATCAATCAAAAAAATTTTGAAAAATAAATACAAAGGTGCCTTGTATATTTAAAATAATCTGTTTTATAATGATATTTGCTACACCAATTTTTCATTATGCAGGATACTGTTTCCTATGTTACTTTGGGAATCTTAATTTGTTTCCAAATCTGATCTAAAACTGTGAAATATTGTAGAGAATCACAGGTAATATTTAAAATACTATAAATCTAGAAAATCTAGTATTTGTTAATTTATTATTAAAAAATACTTCATTTTTTAAAAGCACAATCTATGTGTATACAGGCTTACAGATTTTTTTAGTTATTTAGTCTGAATCTTCCCAGTCTTCGATTGGAGGTTGAAAATTCAGCTTCCTTTACATTCTTACACATTTCCCTTTAGCTTTATAGGAAGTAAAAGTAATCTCCTTCTTCTTGGTACTGAAATAGGGCACAGCATTGTCAATAAAGAGATTAGTTGTTTTCTTCAGTATAGCTTATTTGAATGCCAATGTCTGGATGACCTAGAACTCTTTCTGCTTTTAATTAAATAAACTTTTGCTTTAAGAAATTGGAAATTAGCCTAATTTCCAGTCTTTCAGAAGGTCCTTGATTGTTGCAACCAATATGAGCCTTTTGTGTTTTCTTCCTCCTCTTTGTTAGAAGAAACTTCTTTGCAGACTTTCTAGTGTTCCTGATTAAGGAGGATCTGCAAGTTTTGAGTGGCAAAATAACATTAAAATATATGCTTGTTTGCTCATTTCTTTGCCCACTGTGTGTGTGATTATGTGTCCAATTGTGATACATTATCAAAAATCTATTTATTTCTTCTAGCTATGTTTGATTCATGTCCCCTGATGAGAAATTCAATGTTCTTTCAGCTTGGGGGATACATGTCAAACTGCACTGATATGACAGGCTGAAATTCAGCAAGAAGTAAAATCAAATATGTGATCAAGAACTGAATTTTACTGATAAGTGAGAAAATGACATCAAAGTTGAACTTATGGAGAATTTGGGCAATTTAGTAATTTATAGAAAGATTAAATGGTATTATGGTAGTGCTGTTATGTTTATTTTTAATGTTGAAATGTACTTTATGGTGGGAAGAGTTATTTTTTAGTTGTCTATTATGTACTGTTGTGCATTTTTTTTCTATTTGTGATGCATTTTGCAATATAAATATCAATTAAAATGTGGTTTAAAATTTTCTGATTGTAAGCTAAAGATTCATAATTATACAAGCAAATTAATTAAAATAAATGTAATATTTTACCAAAGCTGAGTATTTTGAACAGATGAATTTAAAACTGTGCAAATGCTAAACTTAATCAAGCTTTAATTAAAAACAAATATTTTACTCAAGTTTGTTAAATTTATAACAATTAGAAAAATATAAATTTATTAAATTTATACAACCTGTATTTTTTGCCATTAATATTTTTCAATTTGTTAGAAGGCGGGTAGCTGCAAAATGGAGCTATTTACTTTTTTTAACAAATTGTTAGCAGCAAAATGTAATGAATGCTATAACCAATGAAGAAAACGTAAAAATCTTTTCCTGTAAAATATTCATAAATATAGTTTGAAATTCTTCAGTATTAAATATCCCATTTCACAATATTTCCAATATATGCTGCATTACATTTTTCATTTGTAGCATATGCCTCATATTTTATTAAATTCCTCATGGGTACAGCTGGCCTCATATTTCAGTAAAAAACTTGATAACTTATTATTGAAAAACCTTTTACACAACGTATTAGGAACATTATATTTCATCGGGTTATAGGCTTGTTTCAATCTCACATGTTTGATACATTTATTAGATAGTTTTCGTTTTTAGGTAGTGAAAATTGCTAATTCAACTTCTAATGTTTTATAGTATATTAAAATATAGAGTTATTATGCTTTATAACATTTATATATATTTATTTATAATATTTATATATATTTTATATAAAATGTTATAAAGTATAATATCAAGTATAACATTTCTTAATCATACAAAGAAATTAAAACAAAACTTTCAAATTTACTAGAAGTGACTTATTCACGAAAAATTACTTACAGGTGTTAAGTATTTATAAGTTAGGTGAGCATTCTCTGCCAAAACATCAGCTGCCAAGTCATAGTACTATTAAAAAAATTATATTTTCTATTAGCGAGTAAATATCTTTAATAAAATAAAAAATAAAATGCATTTAAAAATAATCATTCACATGTATGCATATTTGCAAGAAGATGGTTAATTAAGAAATTTTAATTGCAAAAATAAAAAATAAAAGATTAATTATTGCTGCGAACTAATTTACAATATCATTTAAATTCTAAGAGCATATGTAAATTAAGTGCACATATCTAAAACCATGAAAAAATATAATATTCCAAAAAATTAATTTGCATAAGTGAATAATTGTTGAGCAGGCAGGAGACAGACTTATCAAGGGAAAGTTGCTTCCAAACCTAACTCTTCAGTTACTCAATTTGTGTTTCGTCATCCATATAGGCAATATGGATGCCTATATGGATGACAAAACACGAATTGAGTAATTGAAGCATTAAGGCTTGGAGGCAACTTCCTCTTTGATAAAGATCTGTCTCCTGCCTGCTCAACAATTATTCACTTTTATGCAAATTAATTTAGTCTTAAAAAATTCATTTAAAAGATCTTTGAGGATTATTTTTTTGGAATATTATTTTCTCATGGTTTTAGATACTGTGCACTTAATTTACATATGCTGTCTAGAATTTAAATGAATTATATTGCAAATTAGTTCGCAGCAATAATTAATCTTTTATTTTTTATTTTGCAATTAAAATTTATTTTAATTAAATTTTAAATTTATATTAGCTTTTTACGAATGGAGAATATTTGTTAAATTCAATATCTTATGTTATTAATAAATGTAGTGAATTAAGAGAATAACATAAGATATTATATAAGTTTTATCACATTGTTCTTTAATAGATACTATAGTTGAAACAATGTGCTGCAACCTTACTGCAAAGAAGAATCACTTTGTTATCCATTTTTAAGGTATTTTCTTCTTATTGCATCCTTCAAATAACAAAGTATATAAATCATTCATTTTCAATAATTCAATTTTTTAAGCGAATTCCTTAAAGATTTCCCATGAGTAATAATAATAGATCAGAACTCATCAGGACTTGTATCAGGACTTTCTAACTGTAAAAAGTTACAATACTTAATTCCACATTTTAGATCACCAGTTTAAATCTAATAAAATAACATGTAGAAATTATAAAAGCAAAAATATGAAACAGTTGTTTATAAAATAATTGAGAATTTAAGACCTTAAGAAAATAAGAATTTAGAAAAATAAAATAAAAAAGTTCAATATTTATTCGTTTGCTTTATTAAACATTTCTTTCAATGTAAGCTTTAAGTTGCTTTGTTTTTTGTACTAATACATTTTCTTTAATTTTATAGACAGACATGATTTCTTGTTCAGTTACAAAGTTCCACTGTTCAAGTCTTCTAACTGCTGAGTCAAGAATTCCCACTAAATTGCCAATCGAAATTTTTCATTCTCAACAAACTCTGTTATTTTCTTCAGCATTGGTATCGATATTTTCTGGATTTAGAATCAAACTACAGATTTTGCCATCAGTTAGTTGATTAATTATTGGGCATTGTTATTGTGATGTAATACTTCCGTTATAATCATGTCTATTTACTACCACTTTTCCATATTCCTTCAAAAATTCCATTAATTTCACCAAAAATTTCATTTTTTGTTGCCTGAAAATCTTCAAATTGGTGGCTATTATCATAAAGTTTAGATAGCATCCACTATATATTATTGGTAATGCATCAAGAGATTGACGACTTTAGATAAGTTGCTAAATTTTGCCTTTCTTTTATCGTGTGCTGAGGAAATTAAGCCTGAATTATATCAGTTTAATTTACTTATTTGTAATTTCATCCATGAATATGCTTAAGGCTTATCCGAGTCCTGAATAAAATAAATTTCTGGAACAACAAATCAGCTATTTTTAATTCAAACAGCACTAAATATAATCTTTTGGCCTATGAATGTCATTCACAAAATCCAATTTTTTAATATTGAAAGAAATTTATGTTAAATTCTTTTTCTATTAAAATTTCTCCTCATAAACACATTCGAAACTTCACAGGGCAGCAGGTTAAAGTTTGTAATCACTGCCAAATGTAATGTCAATGTAAAAAGTTACAATATTGTTTGGCATTCAATTACTAATATCACTGCATGAATCATTTTTCATGCTACCATGAGTTGACTGTGATGTGGTGAAGGAAAAAAAAAAAGAGATAAATAAATAATTTTTGTGAGGTTGGCATCAGGATTATAAGTTAGTTATTCAGTAGGTATAAAATCACTAATGAACTTTGGCAGAACATTTTATTTGAGAGGTGTGATGAGCAAAAAGGTGGCTACAGTGCCAAATTATTGATCATACAGATTTATGCTGATAAATTCTTCTATTTCCTCCACATGAACATTCCACATGCTTTGTTATGAACGAATGTATGAAAAATGTCTTTGTTATGAAAAAATGTCTACTGCACAGGCATTAAGCATATGCAAGCTGCTACTCTTAAAATATAATTCTTTTTCCCTTTTTGCAAAAGAATTTGGTATTTCTTTGTTATAGCAACCCCCAACCATATTTGGCGATTTCAGATTTGCGCCGAGATCTCAGCTATAATTTTGCCAAACTCCTGAAGCACGAATGTAAAAATAAACAACACATTATATAATAATAACAATACTGATAGGACAAACTCATATGTCATTTCCTAAGAATATTTTTAAGAATCCTTAGCCTTATTATTTTATCGCATATAATTGTTCTAGTCAACTTTCACACTTAAGCTCTTTGTTATACCATTTCATGCACATCAGCTCATCTGTCCAAGAATACATATCTCTATTAGCAGTGGCGAACGATATTCTGGAACCACTGAACAAATTTCCAACATGGATGCAGTTCTTCATTTTGCAATTTTTAAAATTGCACCTCCAAATGATTTCATCGTTAACAAAAAGTTTCATGCTGTGGCCATTTTCGCATACTCATTTGTCAGGTAAAAGAGATCTTACTTAGTAAATTAAAGATTGCTAATATCATATTCATAAAAAAGCAATATTTTTAAATAAATATAGTGCATTCGGAAACCTCATAAAAAATGATTAATATAAGAACATGCGACGAAAGCAAAAATGCAATACAGTGCTAATATATGATCATGTGGTGAGGTATAGAACACACAGCCAGGTTTAGGCAAGATATCTCAGTTGATTGGTGATTCAATTTTATGACTGCCATAACAAAGAAGTACCAAAATTTTTCTAAAAAAAAAACTGCTGATGGTCTGGATATTAGATCATTCTACATATAGGTCATCCAGATTTTGGACTTTGTACTGCAGAACTTTTTTTCTAATTCTTATTCACAAAGATACCTTTGTTGACCATAAAATGAGTCAATTCATATGACTAAAGTTTTATCCACACATTATACAAGAAACACCATGTACTGCCTTCTTTGATTATGTTGCTAAGAAAGTTATTATAACAGCCATAACAGTCAGTGCTTTAGATAATGATATTTATGTTTCTGTTCAGATAATGATATTTACATTTCTGTTCTGTATTCTGTATTCATTTCTGTAGACATGATTCCTTGAAAATCAAATGCTGACAAACATGATATCTATGCAGCAATAGGAACATGATTTCCATGGAATCACTAGCATTAAATACATATTTGTAACTTATTATTAATACTATAAATAAACATACTATAATAAAATCCACTGAGATCGACACATCAATAACACAAATAAATAAATATTAAATACATATTTGTAACTTTATTTGTGTTATTGATGTGTTGATGTCAGTAGATTTTTGAGTTTATGACTAGCTATTCTTCTATTACATTATAAGATTATTATTTTATATTCTTGCTGCAGACTGGCAGACCATGATATCACTCGTAAAAGATAGCTCATGATTATAAAAAAGTTAGACATATCACTCTGGAGCATTATGAATGCTTCGATGATAATTTTTGAAGCAAAATCCAAAATCTGATGGCTGCCAACTGTTACAATAAGCGCTATTTGGAATACTGATGAAGCTATTTCAATACAGTTTTTAAGGTAATGAGAAGATTAATTTAGCAATTATGTAGTACACAACAATTTTAATGATGAAATTGGGTAACGGTCCTAGTATTTATTATTAGCAATTTCATTATATACAATTAAAAATCTAAAATTAAATCAAAAAGAAACAGATTAGGTAACAAATATTTTATCTACAATAAATATATTTTGATGTAATGAAAAAAAATATTATATGAAAATACAGGGCATAATTTTCTGCTAAATCAACTGTATACAATTTCTTGACAAAACAAAATTTTCAGAAAATGTAATTATTTAGAACAGACTGAGAAGAGATTTAATTTTCATTTAAAAATTTTCCTCTAAGCTTTTACCAAACTTTCTAACATATTTTAAAACCAAACCATTATGAATGAAAAGTTCTTTTTACATTATAATAAACTGATTTAACATTTATATTTTTTAAATTAACATAAAACAAACCTAATGATCTGATAAAAAAGTTGTAAAAATTTCACATATTAGAATTATTTTAGTTCTTGTAATAATAACAACTATTTTAGATACTTACCTCATGTTTGCAATACAGTAATAATAAATTGCCAAAAGTTTCAGGAGGAAAAGGATTTTGCTGAATTAGGAACTGCAACTTTTCAAAACCCTCAGTAGGATGAGTTTCCATATTCATGAGAGCCTGATTATGAAGAGTAACTGGGTCTAATTCCTCTTCACCTCTAGGAGGCATATCGGTAAGTGCTTCCCTTGCAGCATCAACTGATTAAAATAACATGACATAACATATTTTCATATTTATAAGAATGTAATAAATGTAAATCAGATGATAAAGTCTTCAAAATAAATTGAGTAATCTTTTAGTTTATGAGCATCATTTATTTGCAGAAAAAATTAAAATTTCTATATAGCCTAAAGCAGATGGCATCCACTTATAGCCTACATGCAAGCCTTTGAGCACCCTGATGTGACTTCTGTCATATAACTAAAAAAATAAATGAAAGCCTAAGTAATGCAACAATGCATTTTGAAATTAAAACTATTTGTATGATATTTTAACAGCTATTGATTGCTTATTTTAATTATTAATTATTAATGAAAATGCAACTACAAGATTAAAAAAAAAAAAAAAAAACTTATAAATGATTCTTCAAAAACTGATCGCATTCATAATCTAATTGAAATTGTTAAGTCACATTAACAGCAGCAATTCTGGAATGGCAAATGGAAAGTCCTATAAAAAGCAAAAAATATGGACCATTAATTAGATTTTCATCAGAAAATTTTGGAAACAGGATTTAGGCAACACTAATTTAATTTCATTATATCTGCTACTTTATTCTCAGTTGCCATCAAAATTTCATGCAAACTTGCAATAGAATTTACCCTAATCAAATACTCAGTGTTGAGAAAATGTACATAAGTGGACTTTTACAGTTTGTACCTAAGTAAAATATTTCCAGTCTAGTACTTAAAAAAAAATTTCATGTACATGATGACACTTTTTAAAAAAAATATGTCTATTACTTCTTGCAATGAAGTATATGAAAAGTAAAAGAACAAAAAAATTTAAATGAATACATTAATTAAGCTTTCTACAATTGTTAATACGTCTATCAAACTATATTTAGGTGTAGCAATTTTCAAAAATCAAATTCAATGTTCACATTAAAAATCTAATGTCCATGCTTTTTCATATCTTTGAATAAAATAGCTTTTAAATTGCACATAACAAATATCTTTTGAATTACAAAATAAATATAGTTTTATCAGAGGTAATAATAACATGTCATATGGAAGCAGATAATAAATAAATATTAAATTCAGGAGGTGGCTCAGCCATACCTCTTAGAAGCTTCTAAATTTGGACACCTATTGCACAAAGTTAAAAAAAAAAATGTCAATTTATACAGCAAAGCTTCTAATGCTTGTTGAGAATTACAAAAAATAAAAATTTGATTTAACAAATGCATTTCAAAATTAAAGAACTTTTTAAATAAGAAAAATATCATTCCAATAATTTATATGTTATTTATCAGACAATAATAAATAATTAAACAATTTTTATCCCTAAATAACTTTTACTATAAACAATCAGTTTCTTTTTGATGCATATAGCCATATTTTTGCTGAAATTAATGGCAAAACAAACTTGAATTTTGTTATTTATCAAAATTTACATTAGCATCACCTTGCATTACAAGAAATATCCATTACATTTACTCAAAAGTATATATGCTAATGCATGCTATTTAGTACACAGTATTAAAAAGAGTAAATATTTCTAAAACTTAATAATTTTGTGGTAAAAACTCTTTAACTGAGCTTCACAAAACAGAATCCTATTTTAACAAAATAAAAGCACAACATAATATAAAATCACCAGACTCAGAAAAAGCAGTCATGTCTAATTCTTCAAATGAACTTATTTCTCATAGTTTCATTTTTAAAGATAATATTTCAAAGTGTGTTCAGTAATTTATAGTAAAATCATTTAACTCAGATACTGTATGCAAATATAATAAATAAATATAGGAATCTGTGCAACTGTTATGGAACAAGATATATTATTTTCATATTTACTGTTCACCAAGTATGACACAGCTCAAAAGTATTTTGAGATACATAACTCATTATTTAAGATAATACAGTTATATTATGTATTGTAATGCAAAATTTTGCCTAGCAAATATAGTTATTTATGTCTGTGAAGGTTACTATGATTAAGAAAATTATTTCATACCTATCTGAGTCTAACTGCTAGAAATAGTTCTTGTAAGATACCCAAAAATAAATATAACCAAAATGTCTCCACACAAATTATCAAGGTGATTGGAAAGTGGTACAGGATATTGGCTAGCCAAAATTCAAACACATAGAAATATTTCATTCATTCGTAGGTAAATAAATTTTAAGTGGCATTTTATCCTTATTACATTTTATAAGTTTCATCTGCATGAAAGTGCTGCAGAAGCCAAGTGGAAGAATTTTTTCAGTGTACAAAGATGCTATTAAAGGATGTCAATGTTAAGAATTTAAAATGGATGCTAACAAAATTTTAAAATGGAAATTTTAATACTGAGAAACAGTATAGAAATAAGCACCCATGGAAGGTAAGTCGAAAATATTGATACTATGTTTAAGTTGAAAATACTGATAGAAGAAACCCTATATTTCAACAAGGAGCTTCATTGGATATACTGAAATGAACAGAAAAATTTTCTCATTTATAACTGAAAAATCATCAGCAACACATACTGATTTTTACTTCTCTACTCACATGAAAAGTGGAGCTTTTTTTAAGGCATATTTGATTGAAGATGATAAAAAGATTCCTTATGTTAATATTATTATAAAAAACTGCCAAGTACAAAAGTAAAACTAAATCTCATAAAAAAAAAAAAAAAAAAAAAAAAAAGTTTCATTCGAAGAAAGTTTTCTCTGCCTTTGCTGGAATATGCAAAAAGTGTTTTATTTTGAATTATTAGAAAATAATGTAGTTGTTACAGTTAGACAATTTGAGATGGAATCCACATTGATCAACAATCTTTAAAAAGATAATCTTACATAATATACTGCCAGAATAACTCAATAAAAGGTTAAGAAAGGAAAATTCTCATTCATCCACCTAAGACTTTACATACTGTTGTTTAGGTCTTTCAATATTTTCTTTCTAAACTTAAAAAACCTCCATGGGAAACAGGAGGTGGAAAATAAAATAAATAACTACTTTGCAGCAAAATCAAAGAATTTTTAGACATAGAAGATGATGGGAAATATATTAATAATAAAATTTTAACAATATTTTTCCCCATTTAAAGTTCTCTCTCTCAATCTTGCATTACTTTCCAAACAACTTGATATTTTAGATAAAACAGATTTCTATTTTAATTTCAGTTAGAATTTAAAAAATTCTTGATAAAAATTTAAACACAAAAAAATATATATATATAAAAGAACAAAAAATTCTTGATAAAAATTAGATGCAGAAGATGATATAAAAAAACAATAAAGATAGTTTATTTACAATTTTTGAGTTGATACTCAATAGCTGCTTTAAGGTTAAAAGCTTCTATAAGTGCAGTTTCATGAAGAGTTATTGTGTTCCCAACACTTCTAACTTCAATTCCTTCAGTGTTCATACCAACACTTAATTCTAAGAAAAAAAAAAAAAAAAAAAAAAAAAAAAAAAAAAAAAAAAAACATGATTAAAGAACAAGAATGAAAGAAAAATATTTTCTGTGAAAGTACTCAATAATTACTGTGACTAAATAAGACAGATACAAGCAATTATCTAGTTACAGATATATTTGGAATTGAAAACTATTGCAAAAGCTGAAATTGTTATGTTTATTAATTTAAAAAAAATATTTGTCTCTGGGAAGAAGAGAGTTTGTTGCATTCCATATCCAAAGGAAAGCAGCACTTAAAATGAATTGACTGCACTAACCTTTACTACGACATCAGCCCCAAGTGTACCCAAAGGGTATGTATACAAAAAGTATAATAAAATGAAAAATTATACAATGCATTACTTTTGAAATATGAATAGAAAATATACACATTAATACAAATACAAGAATAAAATTTCACACCTCCATAAAAACATAGAATGTTTTCTGCTAGAAATTTTAGTACTTTCTGATTAACTGCACCTCCACCGAAAAGCAGCAAAAAAGTACTCATGAAGTAATGCACCACATTGCCAAAAAGTATTTAAGTAAAAGCCCATGATGTCCCCAAAATGTATTTATGTTGCAACCTAGTTGAGTGCTTAACATACATGTATTTGAATGCACGTGGATTTGTAGTTGATTTTTCTGAGACAAATTCTTCAAAGTATTACTTTTTACATTGAGTGCATTTGCTTTTATTGTTACAGACTGTAATGGAACTATGATGTCTGCCCTTTCTTGTTTTCAATATGCCGAAGTATTTCATTGAAGTAAGTGTACACTGAAGTTTAAAATGTTCTTGGGAAATGCTGGCCAGAATGCAATGCCAAAGCTATGTATGACATTGAGTTTGGGCTAATCTCTGATTTTTTCCCTTAGTGAAAATTTATCATTGTGTATATGGGAAGAACAATAGTGCAAACAAATTACAGAAGGTAAAAAGGTAAGTGTTTTGTTATGTTAATGAATGCAAAAAATAGGTGGCACTGGATGCAAGATACCCAAACAAACATTTCTCTACAGTGGGCAATGTTTGGAAATGCTATCCAGTGTCATGAAGATTTTTCAGGGGGGGGAGGGATAAAAAGTATTAAAATTTTATTTTTTCTCCTATGACCATTTTATGTCTCTTGAGCTTTCTTTTTGTCGTCTATAATAATAAAAGAAAGTGTGTGCATGTCTTTGCAAGTGTATTATGTAATAATGTTATATGTTATATATGCACACATAGACAGACTGGTTATCATAAATTAAGGAAAAATCACAAAAATCACGATTACTGAAAAAGTTACATGTAGAATTTAATGAAACTTACCCACAATATACAACACATAGTAAGGTATCAAATAACATAAAAAGAAATTACCAGACAAATATGATAGTACAGAAATTAGCACATGTATAAAATGAACAAATCGAAGGCGTCAGTTTGCTATAGGAAAAGTACCTTCAATATGGAATACGATCGCCTCTAGAAGCAATACAGTACATACAGTGATGTGTGATGCTTTCAATTATGCAGTCTATCAGTTCCATAGGAAGCAAGAGCCATTGGTCTTGCAAAACAGTTGCAAGCGTGACAAGGGTTTGAGGGGGCGGATTGAGAGCAGCTAGACGTCTCCCTAAAGCATCCCAAATGTGCTCAATAGGATTCAAGTCCGGGATCAAGCTGGCCACTCCATGCGCATAATTTTTCTGCTGAAGATAATCATCTACGATGCGAGCCCTGTGTGGTATTGCGTTGTTATCCTGTAACAGGAAAGCATCACCTATTGCCGCGGCATATGGGTGTACATAAACATCAAGGATGTCATCTCTATAAATATGAGCATTCACGGTTTCCCTTGGAAAGACATGGAGGTCTGTGGGTCCACCCAAAGAGATGCCACCCCAAACACAGACACTGCCCCTTCCGTATGCATCTCTTTCATGGATGTTTGATGGATGATAACGGGTTCTAGGTTCTCTCCATATCAAATAACACCTACTATCGCTTTGTAGACTAAACCTGGACTCATCCGTAAAGAAAACCACCCTCCATTGATCAGGCATCCAATGGACATGTCGCCGTGCCCACTGAAAACGATCCCTCCTATGGCGTGAGGTGAGCGGCACACAAATGGCTGGTCCCCTCGTATACAGACCACTTTCGTGAAACCTTCTACGCACAGTTGACGTTGACATGAACCTTCCTGTGGCTGCAGCAAGAGAGGATCTAAGAAGAGTCGGAGTAGCGCTTCTATTCCTGCGTGCACATAATGTCAAATATCGGTCATCGGCGCTCTTTGTAGCAGTTGGCCGTCCTTGGCTGAACCTCCTAGATGCCAAATCTGTGGTTTGAAATTGCCTCCAAAGTCTCTGAACCACAGAAGGACTCACATTTAGCCATCTGGCCACTTCTGTTTGACTTTGTCCTGCCTCTAGTCTCCCAATGGCTCTCCATCGCAGTTCTGCACCAAATGATGCCTGGAGGTCATTGTTTCGAATTGGCTATCTCAGATTTCTGATGTCACTGTCACAGTTAAATATGTGGGCTTGCTCTCAAACATGTACTTTTATACTCCTCGCAGATGACGTATTCCGAAAGCAGCGCCCTTAATTTGCATATCGCAGTTTTACTCAGCTACTCTTACTTGGCAACATATTCAAATTTTACACGGTTTGGCTTATTTTTGAGGGAGTTATCGCTATTTTTGTGATTTTCCCTTAATTTATGATAACCAGTGTATAATCATTTTATATTACAACAACACAGAAACAGGAAGGCTCAACTATGTAAAATTCAGGCCTCTTTTATGAGAAGGGAAAGTTCTCAAAACGTTTAAAAGTTACTTACAAATTTCATAAAGTTTTTTTACTGATTTTTCAAAAAATATATTTAAAAATATTAATTACGTGATTTACATATTTTTTAAACATGGTATATTATTTCATATATCTAAGAATGCATTTTGTTTCATCATCAATCACAACTTCACTTGGAAATGGTGTGAGGTCGTCTATTTCTTCATTATGATGTACCGGGTGATCAAAAAGTCAGTATAAATTTGAAAACTTCATAAATCACGGAATAATGTAGATAGAGAGGTAAAAATTGACACACATACTTAGAATGACATGGGGTTTTATTAGAACCAAAAAAAAGTTCAAAAGTATGGGTTGGATTTACCACATCTACTGTTATCTGGCCTTTTTTCTTCGAGGAAATGCGTGATTCTGGTTTTGTAACTGCTACCGTGACGGGTGAGAGGTACGCCGATATGTTACAAAATCGCATCGTCCCCAGCCTGGCTGATAAACACCTGCTGGAACGTATGAGTTTTATGCAGGATGGCGCTCCACCCCATATTGCTAGACGCGTGAAAGATCTCTTGCACGCGTCGTTTGGTGATGATCGTGTGCTCAGCCGCCACTTTCGTCATGCTTGGCCTCCCAGGTCCCCAGACCTCAGTCCGTGCGATTATTGGCTTTGGGTTTGCCTGAAGTCGCAAGTGTATCGTGAGCGACCTACATCTCTAGGGATGCTGAAAGACAAGATACGACGCCAATGCCTCACCATAACTCCTGACATGCTTTACAGTGCTGTTCACAACATTATTCCTCGACTACAGCTATTGTTGAGGAATGATGGTGAACATATTGAGCATTTCCCGTAAAGAACATCATCTTTGCTTTGCCTTAATTTCTTATGCTAATTATTGCTTTTCTGATCAGATTATTGCTTTTCTAATAAAACCCCATGTCGTTCTAAGAATGTGTGTCAATTTTTACCTCTCTATCTACATTATTCTATGGTTTATAAGTTTTCAAATTTATACTGACTTTTTGATCATCCGGTATATAGGGAATAATCCCTAAATACAGCATTTTTTACTAATTATTATGTCTCTCAATTCTGTGGAATGATTCATTTAGGTATTTTCTGGAAACAGTTTTCCTTTTTCCTATGCAATGAATGGTTATAATGGTCATCTAAAATAATAATAAAAAAAAATGTCTGCGTATGTCACACAGCAGAGCTGGAAAGGCCCAGAGAAACAAAATTCAGAACATAGGTTATCCAGATAATCTCAAAACCATTCTATGAAATTAATTCAGATTTTTAAATCTTGAAGCAGTTCTTTATGGACTTTTATGTACAAATTCTTTCTCAGCAGTTGAATTAATCATAACAGAACATTAGTCAATGCACCATAAAATATATTAAAAAATAATTTTCCACGTGAAGTTTTCCTGAATCTTTGACTTAATTTATTGATTTCTGGAAACTGTTCCAAAATTGGTCAGTTTTCCTCAATCATTATATTTTCAACAATTTTAAATTTATGCATCAAAAAATCTAGATCTTACGAACTTTAAATTTTCAGTTACTACATATAAAATGATCTTTAACTTCTTTTAAAATAGGAGTAATCAAAAAAATTAAATGATTTAAAAAAAATCTAGTTATCATTTGACATACTCAACTGTTGAATTTTATTTCTTTATCAATGTTCTAGTTAGATTTTTCTAAATTTGTTTTTATTTTTACACTATGGTCTATTTCATTACAAATCTATGAACTTTTCTAATAATTTATATGCTTTATGGAAATAACTTTTTCCTGAAAAGATTGGTTATTATGCTAGCATAGAAGGCTTTGGTAAATACACTAGGGGACAAAAGCAATAAATTCATTTTTCAATATACAGCCATGAAATTGTTGAAAAGGGCTTTTTGTGATCAGATTAGTACAAAGTCAACTCAGCAGAAAAGGTGATACATGTGCAAATATCCGCATCATGACATCAGAGGGGATGTCAGAGCACACAAAATGCGAGGAGTCAGTGAGGACAATGTAAGGCATTTTAAAAAGAATAAAGGAAGGAGAATTTCCAGACATTCTTCTGCAGATGAATGTGAGATTTTACATGAAGTATGGATGCAAGAAAACATCAAGATGCCTTTACACATGGTAGAATAAGTGGCAAGCATGAGAAGATGTGTAGTTTGACATCTGTTACCTAAGAGTTTGGAATTGATAAAAGTGTTCATTCATGAGCACAGCTGTAAGACAAGCACAGCTGTAAGAAAGGTTAGCAGTGGTCGGCTAAGGAGAACAATGATAAACTGATAACTGATATATCATCCTGCAGGCAAAAAGAGATCAAAATCAGACCAATGGTGAAGAGAACAGAAACACTGGACAAAATCAATGGAGACATATCTTCTTTTAACTGGTGAGATTCACTTTAGTTAGTAGACAAACATAGTAGACAAACGATTCTCAGCATCATTTGATATGGAGACATGTTTTCAACAAACAAACAACAAACATCAGAGGAAGAGACTATTGGGGTGGTTCTGTTGCGCTTGTATGGGAAAACATAATAGTGAACAGACAGGCATACCTTCATATTTTTAACAGGGGTTCACTTATCAGAGATCGTTTCTATGATTAAATTATCCCCCCCCCCCCGTGTACCTTTTCTGGGGTGCCACTTGTTCTGACTTTGTTTTTATGGATGACAATGCACGGGGACACAGGCCTCATGCTATTGTGGAGCTCCAGGAAAATGAAGATATCTGCAGAATGGATTAGCCAGCATACTCCTACTTTAAATCCCACTGAAAATAGTGGGATACTTCAAGGAGACACCTGCTAGCATGATTTTACTCTAAGGAGAACACCAGACAACTGAAACAAATGCTCCTCAAAGAATGGGAACTTTTTCACCAAGAACTGTTAGATAATCTGGTGTTGAACATTGACAGACAGTGCAGCATAACCATTGCAGTTAGGAGAGGTCATATCTTTTATTAAGGCTCTTTGGTTTTTGGTCTCCCTCTTGGCCAGACAGTTTTTTTGTACTGCATTCAAAGTCTAGGCCAAACTAAGATTGTTGTTTTATCTAATTTTGAAATCCCACTTTCTTAAGCCCAAATTGCAGCAAAGCTGCTATAGAAAGCAAGTATCAAATATGCTTTCGCTTTGCAGATCCTGTTAAATTCTTTTTGACACAATCAAAAATTAAAGTTTTAATTTTGATAAGATAGTAAAAGTCTTCAAAAATAGTAATAGCAAAATAATAATAGATAATAGTAATAGCCTTAAATAATAAGCTGGATAAATTAGAAAGTTAAAAAGAAAATCAAGACAGAGGAGGAATATGCCAAAGTAAAACTAAAATTACACAAAGCAGCAATCTTATGTTTGATGTACCAAGCATCAAGCTGTTGTCTTGCCTCTAATTTTATTAAAAGAAAACTAATATGAGCAACATCCCACTCCAAACGAATATATCTTGGGGCTTCGCTTATAGTTTACGATTGATAAAAAAATATTGTCCTCTTCCACAACCATTCGAAGACCGAAAGTGTGGTTATGGCTAATGCCAATTCAATGTGTAATTCTTGAACAAGCAGATATTTGAAAGTGACACACAGGAATCTGAAGTAGTGGGGAGAAAAATTATTATAGTGCTTCTATTTTTTTTAAATTTAAATTTGCTGGTGATCCAGAGGTGGATATTAGATCATTTAACAGTATATATGTGAGGGAAAATGCTTGACAAAGTAAATAATTTTGCAAAGAGGGTGTGCTGCATTCAATGCAGGTGTGCACAAGAATATTATTTTGGGGTTTCAAGGAAAGGGGAACATAGCTTGGGATGCAAATTTACTTCCAAACTAAATACAGTGAATTAGGAGTTAAATGTTTTTACTTTCATCTGAAGCCTTGATTCTGAAGTGAATATCGAAGGCTTTAGTAAATCTCATTTGCTTTAGCTGAAATACAATTGTTCTAGTATTCCTTTTTTTAGCAGCAAATATGGCTCCTGGAAAATGAAGCAAACATAATGCTGGTTTTTAAATGCAAAGTTATTCAGTTTGTGACAGAAAATGGAAATCATGCTGCAGCAAGGATGTTTAGTGTTGGTGAAAGCTCCATATGTGAATAGAACAAACATGAAACTACATTAATTAATATGCCATGCTAGCAGAATAAATATGCTTTACATAAAGAAGTAACAAAATGACCTATCCCAGAAAAAAAGTGTTGCAAACTGAGTTTTAGAAAATCACCAGAAACAGCATTTAGGCTCATGTAGAAGTCTAATCTTTGCATGCTCATCTTTTCATCTATCATTTTTATATCCAGAGTGTAATGCATACCCATAAATTTTGATCTTAGTTTTTCTATTAAAAGTGCACGTTATGTACTGGAATACACGGTCATTTAAATACAGCGAATCCTTTTGTAATGATGATCTTCTTAGCAAAACCACCAAAATTTTTGAAAACATAAGCTGACTTTGGTATTGAACATTATTCCTCTATGGCAGTCTCCTCGACAGCAAACCAAAATCATCCGGATCATGGTGGTCATTTTATTCACCATAATTTTAATTTTATATAGAGTTTTAGATTTGTTGCTCACATTATATTCATTGAGAACTAAAAACTCTGTGACCTCTTCTGGTTAAATTTTCACACCTTTACATCTGTCATAATCTTACCTTTATATTTTTAATCACTACACAACACATAATTTGTTCCTTTTCATCATGTATAGGCATGTGTAAAACTTTATTTGGTGCACAATATAAAATTAAATTTACCACAGTGAACCTGATTTTTTTTTTTTTTAAAGCTTAAAATACTTTTAACATTATAAAGACTTCTCAAGTTTGTATAAACTGAAAAAAAAAAAAAAAAAAAAAAAAAAAAAAAAAAAGCAGTTTTTCCTGCAAATAAAAAGTAAACAAAACTAAAAATATGATAAGGCATTAATTTAAAATTTATATATGAATAAAACAATATTACCAGTGGAAACTTACCAGGATGTTCTCTTATTCCTCTTTCAATTATTTCAGCTATATGCTTAAGAGCTAATGCATATTGTTTCAAACGATAATAACATAGTGCTATATTATATGATAAATCTGCCAAGAAACAAAAATAAATATAACAATAAGTTAACAGATGCATTTAGACAATAGTTTTATAAAAGAGTGCATTATATTTTATCTATCAATATCCTTAAATATTAAATTTTCTATTTCAAATATTAAATTTTTGACTAAGATGAAAAGTAAAAGAAATCAAATGCAAAATTATCTTTCCAAGCTTAAGTATGAAAGCTAGTAATTTAAAAGGCAGGGGGAGGGAAAGAATATTGTAGTAGTTCAATAAGTGAAATTTCTATAATCCAAAAATTTTAGTACATCAAACTAAATTTTTTTTTTGATAGACAAAATTTACTGAAGTCTTTTTAATAATGTTACTTCCCCATATAAGCTGAATTATTTTAACTTGAATTATTCAGTACATCAAGTTTCTTGTCTATTCATCAACTAGTACACCAAGTTTCTTGGTGTATTCTTCAGTACGTCAAGTTCAAGTCTATATTTCTTTTTTGATAAGCCAAAATCAGATATTATCTTCAAATCCTGCAGGTCATTCCCCGCATTAAAATTAGTAGAAATCTTAAATGTTAAAACATATTTTTATTCCTGTAGCTTTCTGGTCACTACCACTACAAGCAAGTCAACTTTTGTTGTTATGAGTATTTAATAACATACTTTAAAGGGAGTGTAATCCATTTTATTTATTTATTTATATATTTTTTAATTAGTTATCATTATTATTACTATTATTTTGAATACAATAATAGTAAAGAATTTCTCAGAATAAAATGAAGCTGATTTGTTTTATATTTTACATTTTTATTCCATATTTAACATTTAACACAGTTCAAACGGTAACTTCTACTGTTTATATTACATTATTTGCTCTAATGTTTTCAAGCAGTATTTCTGATAAAAGTAAAAAATACAAGAAAACATTTTATTAAAAGCATTCTCAAGTAACTATTTGCCATCAAATTCTCTCTCATAGCAGTTGAGCTCTCATTACAATTGAATACCATCTTTCATTTTAGTGACATTTTTCTAACGTGAATAGATGATTTAGAAATCAGACTTCTTGATTTTAATAAATTTCAACACTTCTTCAAAATTATTTTCATCACACAACATCTGCAATAACTCTTATCTTTGTTAAATCCATACATATGTAAGATAAAAAATATGAAAGCAAACTTCTAAATTTAATTCACTATAACCTCTTTTAATTTTTATTTCATTTGGGAACTTCATTTATCTATCCTAAAAATAGCACTGTAAATCTAAACTGCGTCATTCAAATTAATCATGCGATTTTACGAAACCCTTAATGCAGATGCCTCTTGACCAATCACCGAATTGTAAACCAAAACTAAAAACTGAAACTGAACCCTTCTTTCTATGAACTGATGGGTCACTTTTGTTTGTGCTTCCCTTTTGGCCAGACGTCTTTCCGCAATCATGTGTTTCCTGCTATATTCACTTCTACAGCAATAATATCAAAATTGCAAATGTTCATTAATAGGCACAAGTACTTTGAGAGTGGCACGAGTACTAAGAGTACTAAGAGTGCCAAGTGAATTCTGGCCACAAAATGAGAATTTAAATAAAAAAGTACTTTAATTTGGCTCGACTGCTTCTTCTTCAAAATAGATGGACGCTCTAAGCTTCAAGTATCTACGCAATCAGCATTTCTACGCATCTACGCCTCAGTGTTCTTATTTTAGTGCCTTCAAAATTGTTCTGTGATTACATTCTTCGGCTAGTTCTAATTATGAAAAATTCTATATGAGTGTGTTAAGCTATGTTCACAGTGAATCGTGGGAAAAGTCCTGTTTCACCAAAAATTTTTATTCCAAAATTTGAGCTATCATTACATACAGATGGAGGACAAAATAATGGGAACACCTGTGAAAACGTATGACGTATTTCACACCTGCAGTACAGCCACGCCACTTGCAGCAGAAGTCTGCCACCTAGTGAGCGTGAAGAGGAAGGTATGTCTTTCAACAGCAGTCACCTGCGATGCATGCTTTGATTGAACTGCCTGTGAAAAGTTAAAATTTCAGACTTGTCCAAGTTCCAAAGAGGAATGATAGTTGGAGCACTTTTAAGTGGAGTATCGGTTACGGAAACAGCAAACCTTGAGGGTGTAAGGAGTACAGTATCAGCCGTTATGACAGCATACACGAAAGAGGGTAAGACGACGTCTTCAAAGCACAACAGTGGCCGAAAGTCAAAGCTGGCTGATAGGGATAGATGGGTCTTGAAGCGCATAGTAGGTCAAAAGCACAAGCAATCTTTATCTGAGATAACATCTAAAATGAACAGGCATCTCCAGGACCCCATTTCAACAAAAACTGTCAAAAGGGAACTTCATGCTGCGAACATTTATTTCAGAGTGGCAATTCGTAAACCCTTGGTGAAAGCAACTAATGCTTTCAAGCGATGCCAATGGTGCAGAGATCACAAAGGCTGATTCCCCACAGCAGTGGCAACAGGTAATATGGTAAGATGAATCGTCATTCACCCCCTTTCAGATGACCAGACGCGTTTATGCCTGGAGAATGCCCAAAGAAGCGTTTCATCCCGACTGCCTCTTGCAGACTGTGAAGCAAGGGGGTGGCGCAATTATGGTATGGGGTGCGAAATCTTGGTGCAGTCTTGGGCCACTTGTTATTATTCATGGGAGGATCACATCCAATCACTGTCTAAGCATTCTAGGGAATCATGTCCAGACTGCATTCCCTGGGAAGCGAATACTTTTTCAAGACGACGATGCTCCTATCCACACTGCTAGGTGTATTCAAGAACGGTTTGAAGAGCATGGCGATGTAATTGAACAGCTCGCTTGGCCTCCCTCAGTCTCCAGACTTAAATATTATTCAACATTTATGGGCATATTTGGGGTCCAAACTTCGTTCCTGATTTCCACTTCCATCCAGACTTTCGGAATCCAGACTTTCTGAGACTGCTCTGCAGGAGGAATGGCTTAATAATTCCTTAAATATTGTCCATGACCTTTATGCATCTATCCCCTGTCGCATCCAATCTGTACTTCAGTCAAAGGGTGGCCCAACCCCCTATAAATAAAGATTTTCCATTATTTTATAGGTGTTCGTATTATTTTGCCCTCCATCTGTATATATATACATAGCTATATGCAGTCCTGAATATTTTCAAGCATAATTCACTTGTCCTCTTTAACTTAGATTTTTAAGAAATTTTTGCTCAGCAAACTTCAATTGTAACTAGTATTCACTACTAATTCAGAAGTCAAAAATCAGCGTTATATTTTCAAATTTTCACAGACTCACACAATGACATGCCGAACAAATACTAATTCAGAAGTCAAACAAAAAAATCAGCGTCAGTCCTGTGAAAATTTGAAAATATAATGCTGATTTTTGTTGTTAAACTTCTGAATTAGTATTTGTTCAGCATGTTATAGTGTCTTAGTATTCACTACTTAATTATGACAATTTGTAGAATTTATTTAAAAAAAGGGTATTTTCTCCATCAGAAACACAAATAAAAAGAACTGGAAAGAAAAATAATAATATGAATATATATTTGTAGTATAATGTTTTGATAAATATTATCTAAATCTTGCTAGAAGTAAAGATTCACAGCAATTGTTAGAATGTTATGGTAAATAAACTGCACAGTTTTTGTTTCACTTCTCACAAAGTTTAAAATTGCACCAAAGCCCAGCTCTGATACTTCAAAGTTTCTGAGATAAATTGTGAGCCGGAGTGCACTGGAATCCTAAATAAGAGGGTTTTGGCATTTCTTTTGTGTAACTGAACCACAATTTCAGCAGAAATTACTTTCAGTCTCAATATTATTAAACTCTTATTTATAGTTTTACATTTTATATAATGTAATTACAATTATATAAGTTATTAATTTATTTATCATTTTATTTAATTTATTAGTCCAAAGGGCTCAGAAGAGCTATTAATTTTGTTTTGGCATTTTGCGTTGAAAACTTTAAATGTCGGTTGACTTTTCAAACTGCTCCCACCAAATATTACAACCCTGTATTATATTTAAAGAAATTAAATATTGAAAAATCTGTATAAATGTAATAATGAAAAATCTGTATAAATGTATATATGTTTCTTGCATTGTGTTAAAACAACAATACCTAGAGCCATCAAATTTTGAATAACGTACGTTTCCACCCGAATATGGGCATCTGGAAGCACAAATTTGGAATTTGTTTTACCTATTTCAAATTTGTAAAACTTTAAAGAATTTTTTATTAACAAACTCAGTGATTTCAAAGTGAGCAATAGCAAAACTGTAGTGGGGGGGGGCATTTTTATTTCCAGCATGTGAGTGCATTGGAAATTCCAAAGACATGCTCATTTTAAAATTCTTTTGCATATTGCTGTTGAACTGAATTTTATGGTTTAAGTGCAAAAAACATATTTAATAAATAAAGGTATCCTACAAAATGTTCAAAAAAATGCCCTTTTGGGCGTAATGTAAAAACTGAAAGCTTTTAGATTTATTAAATTTATTCATTTTTGTTCCTGTTTACTGACTGCCTTCAATAGGGCTGCTGCATTTATAATCTTAGAAATTAAATGGACTTTCAATAAATAAATCACTGATCATCCATAAAGCTAATAACAGATTGAAACACTAATATATGCTTGCAATAGAGCATTTGCAATAAAAAAAATTAAAAAAAAAAAAAAAAATTGGATTTTAGCATTTGCATGCCACATTCATGTTTGCTGTGCTGTACCCCATGTGCACTCGTCGTAGAGTGAGTACTTTATTGTTTTTGCTTATTTGTGGTCAGCATTTGACATCGGCTTATCATCATGTATTTAATTTTATTTTACCTTTTAATTTTAAATAAAGTTAATTTTATGATTTACTAAAGTCTTTGGCTTTCCTTTTAATGAACCTTCTGACAGGTTTGGAGTACTGTGGCCTTAAACCGTCACCATATGCTTAAAAATGATAATGACTGAAAAACCAAAAAGTTTGATGTTTATAGACAAGCTACTGTGATTTATGGTGTCTACTAATAAGATATAATTTGATAAGACCACATGTGCAAAAGCATTTACCTGGAACATATCCTTCAACTTGCATAGCTTGCATAAATTTCTTGCATGCGTCTTCATATCTTCCTTCCTTTAAAACGAAAAAGAGAAGTAGAGAAAAAAATACTGAATTTTGACACTGTCATAAATATTGTTTATATCATACAATGTCACTACAATAAAATCATAAAACTCATAATTCTGCATATGAGTCTTTTAACCATTTAACAAAATTTTACTTTGAAAACATATTCAGTGAAAACAATCAAAACTCAAAATATCAAATTAAATTTTAAAAAATGTTAACATAAAATAGAATTAGAAAGAAAACTTGTTTAAATATGAAATGGCCTGTAATGATGCTGTTTGTGCTTAGTATGTTACACAGTATATTTAGCGTGTAGCAATCTAAGCAAACATGGGTGTTGCAATACAAGGTTTTGCCCTACATATATACATTCCATACATTTCTTCATATTTGAAGCACTTTAAGTAAACTGAGCTAAATCTGATTTGATTAGTTTTATATTTATTGCTCAAAATAATGTTTTGGACATTAATGAATAACTATAAGCGTGAAAATATACAGTACACTATAGAACAAGATATAACTAATATCATGCTTGTTATAATGGTATTAATTTAAGCATATAGCTATAATTTGATGTTATTATACAAATACAAAATTTTCAATCAAAATTTCAGTTATTTTCTTATTAGAAATTCCATTAAACTGAAACTACTACTACTATTCTTTCAGTTTTAAAAAGAAACTAAATGCAACAAATGGAAACTATAAACCCCGATGATGAAGATTGTTTTGTTTATATGTGTACTATACAGAGAAGTGCAGTTGAAGGTAGTTTTGTCTCTGTCAACAGAAGTATTCCTCCAGGGGTTCTCAATCTTTTTAGCACCATGCATCCCTTTCACCATTGCTAGTAGTTTATTTCTTCCACTCCTTTCCAAAATTTGAAAAAAATACATATATATTTATTTAAACTCATATTATTTTTTAACATTTTTTAAAATTAAACAACAAAAAGCACAGAAAATTTTGATAAATACCAAAACTTGAATAAAAGTAGTTTTTTATATTCATAAACTAAAGCTAAATACTGAACAGCTAAATCAAAGGTTGACTGCATTTCCTCCTAAAACTAAGAAATTTTTCCCTGGTTGAGAACCCTTGATTTAGATGTTTGCAGTGAGAAGAGGATGACCTAGAATCATGTAACTGTGACAACAGTACAAATTTTAGAAGTACTCACAATTATCTAAAAGAAATACAATGGGAGAAAAGAAATTGATTAGCTCAATTCAATGTATTATTTGGAAGTTTTTTTCTGTCATGGCAGCCTAGTGGGAGAGATTTGTTAGAAATGTTGAAAAGCTCCTTAGAAGATCTTTAGAAAAAGCTGTCATAACTTCAGAAGAGTTAGTGACAATAATATGCGAGTGTGAAACACTCACAAATTCCTAACTTTAACATATTTATCAAATGATATGAAAGAGATTCCATTAATTTCAGCCATGTTCTTAATCAACAGACCAAATTCAGAAGTTATAGATATTAACGAGGTTGATGCTAACTCTTTAAGGAAAAGAATAAGTATCATATTAAGTTAATCGAAGATTTGAGATAACGTTTTAGGAAGGAATATTTAGGACAACTTATCAAAAGACATTGACAAAATCCTCAAAAATATCACATTCAAGTTGGCAATAACATCCTAGTGGAAGATGATTTCAAAAAGCGCTTAGACTAGCCTTTAGCCAGAGTTGAATTATTTCCAGGTAAAGATGGTTAAGTAAAACTTATGAACTAAAAGCACAATGTTCTAATTTATTCCATTCAAAGGATTTTTCCTTTAGAGATTTGCTGTCAAGACTTTCCTGTGGAGACTGTTCCTAGAGAAATGTCTTCTTCAAGTGAATGACCAACACAGTCACCGGATCCAGATGATGGCAACTCCAGAAAGTCTTCAAAGACTATGACTTGATCTGGTTATGCTCTTGAGAAACCACAGAGACTAAATTAAAATTTTTAAGTGACTGCTTTTGAGCAGCTATACATCAACTCAAAAGGAGAGGAGGATATGTTGTGAATGGCATCATTTGATTCACCAATAAGCATGAGCCAAGGACTAACATCATGTGGTGTCTTATCTCTTCATCTTAGGAGTTATCAAAGTGACATCGGGTAGACTTTATTTATTGCCTTACCTTTTCAGAAGTTAGCTTTCATTGCAAGATGCACTACAAAAACTATTCATTATAGAAAATAAGCGAATAAGAATAAAAAAAAAAAATGTAAAACAGAGGCAGACATCATGGAAAAAAAAATCAGTCCAGTATGGTACAAATGAGACATACCTTACATATATCACATTGGTCTCTCATTTATAATTCTTGAAAGGAATTATTTTGAAGATAATTTAAATATGTTGATGCAATGGATAATATACAATACATAAATTTTTCTGAAAGATTCATAATAAATTCTTGAATGCCCACAATATCTAGAGATTTACACAGTAAAAGTTCTATAATTTGGCCCATGTAACAGTCTGGCACCTGCCATAAGTTGTACTACTACCATTTGGCAACATTCGGAAATATTTCAGTAGTTATTTCCAGCTCCTTTTGCTCAATTAGCCCTCTGCTTAAAACCTGGCATTTATATTTTGTTTGTTTTCTTTGTTTATTTAAAATATTCTCAAAACTTGATAAAAATTTTAGGAGAATGAAATACAAACATGTAACTTTATCAGTTCACCAAATGCCATCCATTATTAATTGACTAGAAAAAGGTAAGAATAGAAGAATTCGGTACTAGATCATGATATCTACTTATTATAATATCAAAAAGCAGAAAGAAAACTGCAGAATTTCCTATGTGAGTCTATTATTTTTGAAAATATCAGTATCAATATTTTGGAGAGGAATACTCCCTAAACTTGACTACCAGGAAAGTGTACTGTATAAATGATTCAATGTAAAGAGATCAGAAGGTTATCTGACCTTCTGATTGCTCATATTACGCCAATCTAAGGAATCGATTCTATTAGCATAATAAATCTCTATGCTAATCTAAAAAACCAAATAATTACACCAAAAATGAATTTATAAAAAAGCAATTATTTATATTCAGATGGGAAAAAGAATGGAATCTATGAAAGACTTCACGCACTGACAACAATAATAACGTCAAAACTGAATATATAGAGCTTCATTTATTTATTTATTAAACTATGAATTTATTTATTATACTATGAATACATAACTATTCATAAGTTTGACTCATTAAACATGCTTGCAGATTTATCATATGCAGTTTTTTTCATTCCTTAATACATTTAATAACATAAAAAATTATTTTGCTGTATTGTCTGACAGTCTGGTTTATTTGATAATCCAGTATAACTAAAGCCCTGAAATATGCCAGATTATCAGCTATTCATTATTAATGAACTTTTTTTCTGAGATATATAATTTTAATGATTGTATTTCTTCTTTAAATATATCAGTTAGAGTATTTAGCATGCATAAAATTTTTTACCCCTGGTAAAATCCTATAACTTGGATTTATATGAGAAAATACAGATTTCATTCAATACAGATTAAGTTTAATATAATTGAAATATATGTTTGTACCTTGAAAAGCAAGCATCCTAAATTCACTTCTGTGTCTGGATCACCAGGAGGACTCTGATCAACTAAACTCTGGAATATTTTTGTAATGTAAGAATAATGTAATTATATGAATGAGAATAATAATATAACAACATTATTTTCCCAAAAAATATTTTTAAAGCTGAAACAATTTCCGGAAAGCAAATAAAATTATTGTTATACACATACCTTAGCAGCAGCTAGATCTTCTTCACCATACTTAATTGCAGCTTGCAACTTAACAATCTGAAAATGTAATAATAAAAAATAGATTCAAAAAGAAAACTTCAATTTAAGATGAATAATAGTTAAAATTTAAAAAAATAAATACAAAATCTTCAGCTTACTACATACAGACACTGTACATTTGTGTTGTCAATTATCATATTTTATAAGACACTTATGTAAGTAAGTTAAAAATGACCATATTCAAACTAGCAAACTTAATACTGAAGACTGGCTCATGCCTTTAGTTAAATTTCAAAACACACTTTTGACATCTGTTTTACCACCTACTCATAAACTCTGGATAATTCAGTGATTAAACGTACTCATACTTATTTCTCGTGTTCAAGAAATAAAAGTTTTTTTTTTCTTTTCATACTATTAGTGTTGTGGTAAAACAGAATCATGAATTCATTTAATATTGACATTTTATACCTTTCTGAGCCCATAATTGATATTCGTACAATTTATGGTAAAAATGCATATTATTTTGTCATTTTAATGATTTTGCCTATAATTTTTGAAGTAACAAATTTTTAAAAGGTTTTAAAAATTATGATTGCTTGTCTAAATATTGTTTTGCCGCCCAGATGGTACAGTGGTTAGGGGAGCCTACTGCAGTACTGAAGGGCCCGGGTTCGAATCTCAGAGAAGGCATGGATGTTTGTAAATGTACAGTGTCCATTCGGCATGAGGGCATTCTAAATATGCAGCGAGCCGAGAATCCTCTTGAGAGGTTGGTGGTAGGGGAAGAGGGTTGGGAGACCCTCAGGCCTGTCCTCCCAGGGTGCTCTCCATCAAAATTAGGGGCAGAATTGAGCGAAGTTGTACTGTCACCTGTATGTTGCTCAAGGCTCTTGCCAAAGACAGGTGCAATCTTGCACTCCATGTCCCGATGAATTTCGTGGGTGATTTTTCTTCTGATGTTACTGTCAGACAAATGAGATAAGTCATAACACAACAACAACAACAATAAATGTTGCTTTTATGGAGGCGTGGAATTAAATAATGAAAGTTCATAAAATATTTGGAGAGGAATTTATACATACATCCCTCTAAAATTTTTTAGATATGCACATATGATAAGTGACAGAAAAAAATTAACAGTTAGATTTGAAATAATTTTTATTAGCCAATTGCAAGTATTTTAGCACAGAATAAATTTTAGGCAGAATGTGAAATGGAGCTGATGGGAAAACATTATTGCACTATGATTTTCTATGATTTTAAAGTGGGGTTAAATCAAGCAGAATTTTATACAGCAAAAATCAGAATTTTATAATTATGTTAAATAATAAATAGAATTTTTCAGCATGTTTATAAATGTTGTTATTTTAAATAAATTGCTTACATAATTTTATTAAATATGAAAATTTTTGCATATATTAAATAAGTTCTCTTGAAGTAAAGTCTCTCTATGTTATTATTTTAAATAAATTACTGACAAAATTTTATTAAACATTATAATAAACACAAATTCTCTTTTAAATCTATATATTAAATAACTTGTGTTGCACATCTAATGAATGAATTGCAAATTTATCGTTTAATGTGATTTGTTGGCAATACCTATGCAACAAATGTTATTTAATATATATACATATAGCATTTAATATAAATTTATATTTAGTTTAGCAGCAAATAATTTTGTAATTTATATAGTATTTAATTAAATAAATAATAAAATTCTATTTATTGTTTTATTTAATACAATTCTGTTAGCAATTTATTAACAAAAAATCATTTACATAAATATATCAGAAAGTTCATTTTTAACAAACTCTGTCTGGTGTACAGTTTCGTGATGGCCGTTAATAATGCCTGCAACACATTTATCATGACTGACATGGTTACATGAACATTGCATTACCATATGGTTTCTTTTCCAATATATACCTATTTTCACAAATTCTCCTGCTTGGTAAAATAATTTTTCTTGACTAAAACCAACATATATTTCAAATGATGGTAGATTAACAATAATAAGAACAATTAAATATTTGCAGTAAAAAACTGCTATATTTTGAAAGCAAAAATTTTCCTTAACCGAAGAAACATGAACTAAGAGTACACATGAAAAACTGTTACAGAAGATATGCACATGTACAAATCAGTAACAGTAAATGTTTGTTTCCCCTACATGTACAAATTGTAAATGTTTGTTTCCCTCACATGTACAAATTGCAAATGTTTGTTTCTTGCCAATGCAGAAATGTGTCAAATCTGCATTCTCACTAACACCACTACAGAAGATTAATACCAAAGTTTTTAAGTTAGAAACACAATAATTGTTCATTTTATACATATACAGTATTTACACAATTTTTCAAAAGTTCTTGAAATTCCAATCAATCAGTTCAAAGAAATCATGTACCAGTTCAAAGAAATCACGTATGTAAGAATAAAAATCAGATTTTTATGAAGTTTTAACTGAAAATGAAATTATGTTTGGAACCATCTTACAACATTATTTAAGTTATAAATATAGATAAGTATCAATTCAGAAGTCAAACAACAAAAATCAGCATTATACCTACAAAATTTTCACAACAAAAATCAGCGTTATACCTACAAAATTTTCACACGTAGGCTGATTTTTGTTGTTTGACTTCTGAATTGGTATTTGTTCGGCGTGTTGTTGTGTCTTAATTATAGATAAGTATGCTAATAAGTTTTCGGTCATGCATAGCTATATACTATTTGCATAAAATCATATACAGTAACATTTTATATATAGCTCAGGGGATTTAATGTAAGGAAATGCAGACTTAACAAATCATTGAGCTTTTCCAAGAAGGTAGGAAATAAGAGGAAAGGCCCTAATTGGTTTTTCCTATGCACTGCCTTGAAACAGTGGCACACTCTCTTGGAGACCAAATTATTCAGTGACTTGCCATTAACAGCAATAGGTTTTCACATGATTGGAGGGAAATATTTTGTAATTACGTCATATGTATATATTTTCTTTTTCTACAATATTTCAGAAGCCTAACTATGTGGGGGGGGAAGAACATTTTTAAACAAGATTTCATTCTGAATGGAATTACATGCCATACTTTTTCCAAAACAGTTTTAATTTGAATGAAATATCTTCACAAGTTTTCACTAATGACATTAGAAAGAAATTTTAAGGTAATTTGATTTTATCTGGTTAATGATTACAAACATTAAAATCAAAGTTTATTGCATTATTAATATTAAAATATTACTTTTTTTCCTATCTACAGAGTTTCTTTCTGAAATATTTTCTCAAATATGAGATGATTTTTAACTTCTGAGGCATCTTTTAAATCATAAATCACATTTTACACTTAATGCTCTGTTCGGTTCATTTCAAATTAGAGCACCTTTCATTTTAATATTCAGATAAGTTAAATATTGTTGCTGATTTTATACATTCAGTTTTCTATGAGTATTCCTGAAAGGGATTTAAAAAAAGTTTTTTTTTTTTTTTTTTTTTTTTTTTTTTTTTTTTTAAATATTATTATAAAATTTGTACAGAGTTATTATAAAATGTAAGAAAATAATTCTTCTAATACAGTACAAAGTCCATAATCTGGACTCATCGAGACTTCGGCGATTCCAGATTAGGGGTTTTTCCGGATTTTAGATCATCAATTTAAATCTGGTAAGATGGCATACAGAAATTATACAATTAAAAATATGAAACCATAATTTATGAAATAAAGAGCAATTATGATCTAAAGCAGTGTTTCTTAACCTGTGGTTCATGGACCCCTTGGGGGTCCATGGGTCATATTTTGGGGGTCCGCCGATTGCTCCTAATTTTTAAAATGTTTGCATCAATATTTTTAAAAAAACTTTTTTTTTTTAAACATCTCAAATTATAGTCAACTTCTTGTTTTTGTTCGTTACGTGTCTGCTGATACTATCAAAGAAGAATTCGGTACTTTTCCGTTTCGCCGGCGCAAATCTCGCCAAGCAGACTTTATTGGCGACAACATACAGTATACACATAAAAAATATTTAAAAAATTTTAGTTCTAAGAATTTTTTATTTTGAAGGCATAAACATTTTAATATCGCTTAAAATTTTATAAAAAGACAATACATTTATAAAAAGACACTAATTTAAGAATTTACTATGCTTTCATGGTTCAACATCCTGATTCGCCGGTTCATATCACGTGACCCCAAGCGATCTCATCTCACGTAAACTATTCTACAAAAATCTAATGCTCTCAGTAATTATCTACATTAATTTCAAGTTAAATCTTAATTTGGAACACAAGTTTAAATGCAAGAAATATTTTAATTCGTACGAATAGCTTACTCAGAAATTATGTAAAGCTGCAGTCCTTTACTTCGCTAATGCATTCTCATTAAATGGGAATTTAACCCTTAACTTACATTTTCTATATTTTCGGCTTCGGGTAAGCGCTGTGATTGCATCCTGATTGACTTAATTTTGTCACGGGCAACCTCTGTAAGCCATCTGTCTGCCATTTCCCAATAATACAGACCTCCACAATACGAGGAAAAGAACATTCACAAACCATATAAAATTTGAAATTTTTAGAAACACAAAGTAGCCTTTGAATTTTACTTCACTTGGAAATAAAGTGACGTTAAAATCAGTTCCGCAAAGTTCTTGCAAATTTTTAAAACAAAATATTTGTTTTACTTTTTCATAAGTTGTAATTAAAGTATTTTTTTAAGTGTTTTTTTGTGTCTTAATGTTTGTTCTTAATTTCATTATTTGATATTTTTTGTAGCCCAAAATGTCCAAAAAAAGGAAGTTTGATGAAAATTATGTAAAATATGGATTCTGCTGCACAAAGGAATCGGTGTTGAAAAGCCACAATGCTTTCTGTGTGGAAAAGTTTTGGCAAACGCCAGTATGAAACGGACAAAATTGATAGAGCATCTCAAATCTCTTCATCCTGAAAATGCATCTAAAGATCTAGAATTTTTTACAAAGAAGAAGAAAGCCCAGTTTTCGAAATCTGGAACATTAACCAAACTTGGATTTGGTATTTCACAAAAACCTTTGGTTGAGGC